TTTTTTTTTGTGGAATGGTAGTTATCTGTGGAATATTTTGGAAGGGACGGCGAAAGTTCGTCCGTTATGCCTTACCGCGGCAGTACACCTTACAGGTAATAAACGGGTGTCTTATATATCTTATATAGCTAAGACCCAGGTACTCGTAATACAATTAGGTAATACACAGGGTCTTATCTTACTATTTACTTAACTTACACTTCTCAGGTAACACAACAACGGCCCTGTTTTTCGCCCTAGCGCATTGAATTTGGAGTCTGTGGAGGATGTCATAACATTTACTTGCTATGGCCTCAATTTAAAAATAATGAATGGGTTATTTATTCCAACACCATAGTCACAAACGTAGCAGCCAAAACGGCTGAATTGCGTCAGGACATTTACAATAATTGTTAATTCGGATAGAAACACGATTGAAACATACATTATTAACACACACGGAGTAAAAAAAAAGTTTTATACAGCATTGTAACATGAGACTGAGAGTTAACAAAGTGTGGAAATAAGGAAAGCAATAATGAGGCTTCTGATTTGGCTCATTTCTAGTCGTAAGAGTGGCGACAGCATTTGGATAAGTTCAATTTCGGTAATCAGGCAGCTATTGAGATCGCAGTGATCTTTGACCCTTGACCTTTGACACCTCAGGACCGCGTGGCGACAGAAGGAGAACTGTCAAAATTTTCTGGAGAATTCGAGTTCAGTCACAGAGTAATTACAGAGTGACAACTTCTTAGAGCTCCAAGACGAATTCATCGTGCAAGCCATTACTTACAGACAGAGTCGCACGTAAGGTAAGCAAGAACTTTGTTCTCTTTCGAAGGATAATTAGAAACTTAATATTTAGAGCAGATGAAACTGACGTCTCGGGGTATTGTTGGCACACGTATCTGTTATTGAAGCCATTCAATGTTAAGACTTAAGTTATACTGATACATGTTTTCTGTTAAACAACGTCTTTCTTTAATTCTAGATCCTGAGTGCATATAGGAAGGGAGTAGAGACCAGCAAAGATTGGTCTGTGTCGAGGTATATTTACAGTAAAGGAGTCAAATTAGACTAATTGGCACCTTCAAGTTCACCTTCTCTTTTACTTTTACCTAAACGTAAAATTATCATATTTCGCGGCACAAATCCTTTTAGGGTCCTTTTTCATATAATTTTCATAATTTTTTTCAGATAAAGTTATGATGGTTTCTTATGATGATGTGATGCATTGTTGGTAATATGGGTCTAAGTTGAAAGTCCTTGAGACATAAAAAGAACATATTTGACTAACCTCCAAGCAGATCCTACTGTCACAGTGGCAAGACAGAATATACCACAAAAACTCCATAAATATATCAATATCCAATAGGCAATGGGGGGGGGGGGCAGGGGCTACTGGATACTTGATACTGTCTTGCCACCATAGGATCTGCTTGGTGATTACAGTTTGAAAAGTTGGTGTCAAGTTAGCATCCATGGTACTCAGAATAAACAAGAACTCTTGACCTCTTGCACGTGCAGTTTAATCTCAGGCACCAGCTGATTGACTGTTTAAAGGTAAAACTAACTTTTAAGCTTTTGTTCCAACACTAAAGCCAGGGGTAAAGGTAAATGTTCTTACCTAGAGCTTTCGACCAGTCACTCTTGTCTTCCTCAATAGACTAACCCAGTGAGACTTGTCACATGGCTTCTCAGAAGCGTGATGTCAACACTTGGTCAATCCTCTGAAGTCAAAAGTTTTAGGCAAGAACAATTTTACCTTTGGTGTTGGAACAAACTTTTTACCTTCAAACATGTAACTAGTATTAGCGTACCAACACAGATGAACTTTCATGTTAGTAATTGACTGTTGTTCAAACTTAGATGATGCACTCGACTGAAGATGAGCATCCGAGGACAGGAGAGGAACCGAGCTGTCCAGAAACAGACAACAGAGAGACAGGAGCACAACGGAAGATTCACACTGCTGATAGGCCACAGGAAACATCTTCTACACCGGTACCGAAAAGGCATAAACCAAAACATGGTCTCGCTGGTAAGACTAAACGTGGACAGAATTCGAAGCAGAAAAAACACAGCTGTCCACATTGTGAGTATGAAGCTAGCAGAAAAGATGCTTTGACACAACACATCAGGACTCACACCGGTGAGAGACCATTCAAGTGCCCGCAGTGCGACTACTGTGCAGCGCAGAAGGCCCAGCTGCAGCGACACGTCATGTGTAAACACTCCGGTGTGAGACCCTATCACTGTGGCTACTGCGACTTTTCGGCGGCAAGGAAAGATGGTCTTTTCGTGCACGTGCGAACGATACATTGCGGCGAGAGGGCTTACAAGTGCACCTATTGCGACTATTCTGCACAGCAGACGGGTCATCTAAAAGAGCACATCATGGCTAAACATACCAACAACAGACCGCACAAGTGCACCCTGTGCGACTTTTCTTCAGTCAGCAAAAAAAGCTTAAAGCTGCACATGACTAAACACACCGGTGAGAAACCTTACAGCTGTGAGCTGTGCAGTTATTCTGCCCGTGAAAGGTCTTTGCTGAAGCTGCACATGGCTAAGCACACTGGGGAGAAACCTTATAAATGTAAAGTCTGTGACTATTCTACTGCTGTAAAGGCAAGTTTGAAATCTCACATGGCCACACACACTGATGAAAAACCATACAACTGTGCTATGTGTGGTTATGCTGCAGTGAGTATGAAAAGGCTGAAACGTCATATGGCTGTTCACACTGTGGAGAAACCTTTCCATTGTGAGCACTGTGACTTTTCCACAGTAAGAAAACCGGACCTGAAGCGACACATGGCCAGGCACACTGGTGAGAAACAACACAAATGTGAACTCTGTGATTTTTCTACATTGGATAAGCACGGTTTAAAGCGGCACATGGTAACGCACACTGGGGAAAAGCCACACAAATGTGATATTTGTGGCTTTGCTACAGCACAAATGTACATGTACCTTTTGAGACGACACATGGCCAAACACACTGGTGAGAAGCCTTACCAATGTGAGCAATGTGATTATTTCACAACAGTAAAAGCATACTTAAAGAGTCACACAATGGCTAAACACAGCAATGAGAAGCCATTTATATGTGAGGTTTGTGGTTTTGCCGCTGCTTTAATAGGAGGCTTGAGACAGCACATGGGCACACACTATAAGCCTTACAAATGTGACCTGTGTGACTACTCTGTCTCAGTGAAATTTCATTTAAAGCGGCACATGGCAGCCAAACATGCCAGAGACAAAAACTAGAGTGTATCTACCTGAACAAAGTTGAAGATATGGTATATAATGAGCTAGCACATTTTTGTGTGTTTCCTTGGAAATATGAACTGTTACATCATTACAATTAAATTGCACCAAAGAAAGATAAGACAAGACAAGACAAGACACAATATAAGGTTGGCAGATGAGATGATATTAGAGGACCATTCACTTCGAAACAATATTAGGATGTTTAGATTTAGTCATTTAGATTTCTTCTGGACATTTTTTTTACTTTTTTTTTGTAAGTGCCTTCAAGAGGAGGTAACAAAGTACATATATACAGATCTTACAGCAGAACGTATTAGCAACGATTGAAGACATGTACATGTTACAAACTGAGGAACTGCCTTGGTAGATGACTGAGAGGTGTAAATGTAATGTTAAAATAGAACTGTGTTCTCTTGCCATTCTGGAATTAAAGCTATACTAGAGGGATTTGTCCGGTTTTGTTACAGTTTTTGACCCTATGTCAGAGCTTTAGGCTGTTTGTTTTTGATAATCGCATTTTGTATACTTTGGCATTTTTTTAAATATATTTTTTTGTGTTCCACTTTTATTTTTTTTTTATTTATGGCTGCTTGTTATGTAGTGCTCTGTTGGTTCTTTGTGATCTCCTAGCGATATCCAGTTGAACAGCAGCCTGTATATCTAACTTCTTAGTACCAGTTACTAATGCTATTAGATCTGTACTGTAATGTAATAGATAAATATGGATGCCTTTGTTTATTGATCTACATAACTTGGGAAAATCTTAGGAAATTTAAAAGCATGGTAAGAATATTTGGTTTACATGAGCACCAGTGAAACATTGATATGGAAAACTGTACACAATTACAAGACGGTGACAAAATTATTATTATTTTTTTGCTGCAAAAACTTATGTATCAATGGTAGTATGATTAGTTTGATTTTGTTTGTTCATGAAATACTCACTGTACAAAGACTAAAGCAGTCATTTTGCAGGCTTAGAGTACATACTGTTATATTCTCAGGACTTGTTTTTCTATAGTATTACTTTTTTTACCTTTTGTGATGTAGCACTAAGTTTAATATGAGTACTAGGAAAATGAACTGGGGAGAAAATGATATCAGAAGTCCCCCTGAAATTATTGACTTGATATGAAAGTTTTGTATCTCTTACAAAATGTAGAGAATAAAAACAATGGTCAATATACATCATTTACTGTGATTCTTTGTTTAATAAACTTAACTCTCATTAAATATATATCAGTGATGTACACATATGACATAACTTTATTGTGCAACAATTGTACAGTGTACAAAGTATGGCATCTACTAACTTAAGTAAGTACATGTCAACTACATTTTCATAAGGCTAATCTCATACAAAAGTGGGTGGCTAGTATGAGATAGGTATCAACTTATACAATCGTTTCTAATATCCATACAGTCTTTAATATATATCCCTATGTATAGCATGTAGGGGTTGTCACAAGTCAATATGTTTTTAAATTTTATTTCCAAGTTCATTGTGGTGAATGCTGGGAAAGAATCTGAAAGTCTAGTATATAGTGCATTGCGCACATTAATATCATTTAGGACACACAATCAAAAAGTGATATTCGTCCTCAATAAGCTCTGGACAAAATGGACAAACCCTCTGGTCATATGGATAATTTGTGGGCCATTTCTTTTCTAGTGCAGTTGATTGTAGTAGAATTTCTCAATTGACTCAGTGTGCAAAGTAAAAAGAAAGAAACATTCTACAAAGTTACATTTTGCTCCTATTTCTTTTACAAAATGTCGTATCTACATGCATTATTAATTTTACCAGTTGGCGACGTTGCCGTTTCTATCTGCATGCTGCATGCAGACGTCGACTCATCGCTGAAAGCGCGCATATTGTTTTTCGCACTAAGGCCACACCGACTTAATTGTATGGATGACATCAACGCGCGCATTGATTCTCGTCTGTCCTCACAAAAAAAAAAAAAAAAGATCAAGTCCTCCAAGGCTTCTGGCCTGGTTCTAGGCCTGGGTAGTCCATGGTTGTTAACGACAATGGCTGGTGGTAACTGGATCACGGCACCCAGGCTACCGATTCGGAAGCTCCACGACTAAAGATCTCAGTACATACGTACAGTGCCGAATCATAAACTCCGCAAAAAGCCAGCATCGCATGTGCCGGCTTGTCGTATATGTCGCTAGTCTCCTCCAGACTGAATAAGAATGGAGCTTCTCTTGCCGGCTAACTTCTCTGGCCAACTAATACCCTTTTTAGGCGGATTTTTTCGATTTATTCAGCCCGCAAAAGAAGTCTGGTGGAGACTATACGTCGCTAAGTACTGCCGAAAATTCACAATGCCAGCTTTGTATTCTTGTGGGTTTTTTTATTCGGCCGCGCGCACTAGTTTGGGGTCTTCAGAGGATATCATCCGTAAAATTAAGACGGTGTGGCCTAAATATAAATTTATTGGATAAATCATCAAGTGATATCTATGCCGGAGTGCAGACTCATCACTAAAAGCAAGATTGCTTTTCGAATTGAAGATCAGAATCATCTTGGAGTTGACTTTTGACCTAAGTGAATGATTTTTTTCATGAGATCTTACGTACCTGATTAGTCTAGGCAAGTCTCTTTTTCCCGAGTTTCAACGGCGTTTTCCCCGGTACAGTGATTATTGTCAGAATTTATAACTAAAATAAAGATAGAATATTTCCAGTATTATGCTCCTTACATTGCTCAGACGATAAGTTAAATGGAAGAAGATTCTATCAGAGAAAGCAGAGTTCGTAACAAGATGACGTCCCCTTTACACCAAGATGTCAACAAAGGTAAGTTATAACCATTTGTTATTTTGTATATTTATTGGAAAAATAACATATGATTCTCCTATAGTCCACACGCAAGCTACAATGTATTAGATAAACGTCAATCCTGTATAATTAAAGTCATAATTTAGATAAATATCCATGTTTGCTGTGTTAATAGTCTAAATCATCTAAATCAATGTGCATATCTGATCAGAAATTTTAGCAGCGCTTAACGTTTTAACTATTTTCCAATAATGATATTCAATTTTCCGTAACTCGAATTGAAAGTTAAGCTGCAAGTCGCGTGGCGTAGCGACAGCATGCCCGACTCGGAACCAAGAGGTCCCGGCTTCGCTGACATGCCATCGCTCTTGTGCCCTTTGGAAAGGCACTTTACACGACTTTCCTTACGTAAATCAAGTAAAAATAAGAATTGTCTTGTCCTGTATTCTTTCTTTGTGTTGGTGGCGGCATAAATAAGTTGATGTAATTTAAGTGTGCTGTCAGCATGTCTAGTCATGAAATGTTCGAATAAAAGTCACGCTTTACATATAGGGGCAATGAAGTAGTGATAGACATCTACTCAAGAGCAACAAGTACCTGTGCAGATATGTGTGGACAAATACTACAACTGATGGCAACGGTGGATATATTTCCGCCAATGAGATATAGGAGGTTGCCACGTAATCTTATCTTTCAAATAACTTTGTTAGCATTTAATTTAACATTTTAATGTCTTGGGGTGGTGGGACTACGGCGCACAGATATGTCAACTTTGTGTATTTAAATGTTAATTGTATTTTTGTTTTGTTTTGTGGCGCTGTTAATATAAGTTGTAAACTTGAGTGCAGCGTCACACTGTCCTTGTTATGTTTTCCATGTTTTGATAAATATAAAAAACGGTGGATATTTGTGGCTTTCCGTTTGACACCGCGTATGGATGATCTTCATATTTCCGCCGACAAATATCGCAATTAGCTTTTTCTGAAAGAAAATAATAACTTGAACATTGCCAAATAGCTTTTCTAGACTAATCTTTCAAAATGCACTTGGTAAACGATAAGAACATTAAAGCTTGCTGGGCTGACATCACCGTTGTGTTGCGCAATGAAGGCCCCCAAATGATTCTAGTCCCTAGTTAATACATTTACAATTTTTTTTTTGTAAACGTTGGTCTAATATGGACTATTTTTGGATTTATTAGCCTGGTGTCCAGTCTATCGCCGGTGGGGCGGGTTTTCTTCGGGGCTCCAGGGGCTCTTTACCGCCTGAATAAGCTAGGTTCCCCGGTAGGGTTTACCAACTTCTACAGGCGTAACACGCCTACCGGGCGGGCTGTTGAGCTGGACGGTTGGAAAATTATTAGCGCGCCGAAGACAGCCATCCCCAACCATGAGAGACTTGATGACAGGCGGACTAGGTCTAAATCAGTTAATGAAAATTTCTCTCTTCCTACAATCTCCCGTGCGATGGTACCCTGGATGCCAAAACTAGTATCGGGCCGTTAGCCGTTTTCTTCGGCAGCCAAGAGCCCTTCGCCCGCCTATCTAAATTACCGCTACGGGGGGAGTTGAGCCCGAGGGGTTTGTCCAGCCCTATTATCGTTTGTAGGGCCAGCCAAACTCCCCCCGGGCTAGACTCCCCCGTAGCGGTAATTTACACCAGCGGGCGAAGGGCTCTTGCGGCCCGGAAAGCGATGGCGAAGTGTTCCTCTTGCTTTCGACAGTCTGTGAGTTTGATTCCCGAACCGAGTCATCAAAAAGACTCAAAGTGTGTGAGAGTTACACACACACGTCAATACAGGTGGACCAGCCCCTGCTGTAGTCTTTCTTTCTTTCTTTATTTATTTCAGGCATAACACGCCCATATAAAATATGACATACATATAAAATACACACACAATTACATCAGTAAAAGAATAATATGACTATATGTACAGACGGGCCCAGTTATTGCGAAAGAATCTGCTGCGGAATATCACTTCAGATTTGAGAACAGATTGGATAATGTTGTTTGAGGATTTGTATAGACGGGATATGAATGGGTAACATTGTTTACGCCATGTAGCATCACATGTGTCAATCCTATTGTAGACAAACATTTCACTTGCACTACAAAATCTGGGTAGTGACATTATGATGCGAAGACAGTTATTGTAAGCAACTCGACACTTTGATACAATTCTAGAACTAGCTCTGTAGTGATTACACGACTGTGTGGTCCAAGGGCTACAGAAACGGAGATAGGCACCGACCTAAGTGGGAGAAGGAACTTAAAGTTCAAAACAAACTCGGAGCTTTTGTAAACTTGTTTTGTAAAGTTGTTTTCTAGATTTGTCTCATTGGCTAAGTTATAATTAGGAAAATCTATTCTAATGTGAGATTTTTCTTGACTCCGATTACATAATAATGATAACTTGAAGAAAAAATAGATGGCGAACGATGGGATCACTAAAGAATATCATTGTCTCCAATACAGACAACAATATGGCAGGTTTGGATACAAAAAAATACTAGCGAAATAGCCTGCTAGCCGATTCTTAGGCAAGCAAGTAATATTTCATGTCCTTAATATTATCTTCATCTGATTGTTATCTAAGTTGACCTAGGGTTATACATCAAAGCAACTTTTGCTTTATTAATTATAATTGCGTATTTCATAATAAATAATTACGACAAAATACAACCTGACTTTAAGTCAGTGTCCTTCTTCTGAATAAGGGTACAAAACCTACACATGACCATAAGAAATAGAGATATGATCACAAAAATCAGTTTTTGGCTACACACAGGATGCACCACCAGTGCTGCAAACATTTGTGGACGCAAAGAACGAAACAAGTCTCAGCGCTCCCTCCTACTCCGTGTTATCGCCATCGCTGTTCCAGTAGCACAACTGTTGGGAGTAGGGGCTTGTGTCTTCATGTATCTTAACTCCATAGACAACAAGGTATCCGTTCTGGCATCCGCTTTTAACTTAGGTCCAATGTACTTAGTAAGGTAATGCCATTTCTGCAACAATATCAAAAGTCATAGTACCTACTGTAATCATGGCAGCACCCCATGTCTTATTCATTTGATGATGATTTTTAGCTTTTAGATGATGACATGATCCCTATATAGTAGCCCTTATTAGCTTTATTATATTCACATATTTGAATTTATTTCAATCACATTAAAGCACCTTTAAAATTGTACATCAGTCTGTAATCGTAAACATACATTATACAGTTAAAACACTAATCGTGCAAAAAAAAACCCTCTGATGTAAAAGCTAAAATGCTCAAAATAGCGTTACTATAGCATTTTACCTTTTACATCAGTGGTTTTGAACGATCAGTGTTTTCACTGCATTACAGCTTTTATTGTGTAACAATTTGGTCATATCTTTTGCAGAACGCTGACCCATCTATTAAAGAGTCTCCAAACAAACGTACGCCGAAAAGTCGCATAGTGTCAAATCACTGTCAAAGATGACTCCTGCACAGGCCTGGCTGGCGACTACCCTACCGGACAACACAACTGAACTGTCACAGATGACAGACACACAGCCAGACCAGTCAAAATCGCTACCAGGAGTGATCTCAACCGACAAAACAGGCATATCAACCAACGTAAGTCTAACATCAGGGTCACAAAATTCCTTCTTTTTCATGACTTCTTTTTGCAATTGGTACTTACTAGGACACATAAAACTGCCTTACAGCAACCTAATCACATCAAAGCAAACCTTACATCGGCAAGAAAGGAATAAGAAACAGATGAGAGGATATTTTAAAAAATACTGTAGCTTGAAAATTAAAATCGATATTTTTCTGTGGGATAAAGAAATGTATTGCTTAATTATGTTATGCTTTTTCCTTTATCATCATTACCATCATTACTCTTGCTTCCAGCTTCCTATAAGGTATATAAAACACACTTTTAGATCTTGAATCAATAGAAACTTTTAATTTAGTATAGTTTTCCCTACAATTGATCCAGAAGGAGACTGCACTTCTAACGACTGAGAGAGATCAGGCAGCTGCACGTCCACCACTCGTACACGGCGGCTCATTTGGAAACATACATGGTTAGACATACATATTTCATAACCCTTAACATTTCTCAAAATACATTATATTTGAAGAACATATGTACTTGCCACAGAATGAAGATGCGAAAAAATAAGAAGGAATGTGTAAAGTTGGTAGCTTCCAGCCCAAGCCTTTAACATGCCTGTGTAAATTTTAAAAATAAATCAGATTCAACAATTACATCATTACCGTATGTAACTACTTCTAGTAAGGCAATTTTATCAATGACAAAGGATATATGCATGGCTGATAGGTTTAAAAATGGTTTCCGCCGTGGGGTAATAAGGGCTGAAATAATAGACTTCAACCTAACGTTTCCTTTAATTGTTTTTCCCAGTTCCCCGCTGCAAAAAAGGCTACAGGCTACTCGCCGGAACCTGCATCAAGCTCGTTGTTTCATCGGAACTGTTCGGGCTCATCAAGGCCGGAAAGTTCTATCATCATGCCAAGTTGGATTGCTGGATGGAAGGAGCTACACTGGCCATGCCGAAGACGGAAGAACTGGACGTCGCTCTGAGAGATCTGGTCAAAACGGAAGGAGGCAACAAGGAACACTGGATCGGTATGGAGGAGAAAGACGGAACCTGGTATTGGGTGGACGGTTCGAAGGTCGGCCACAACGGGTACACGGTATGTTGGTACGAGTTGTATATTCATTAGATAAAAACAATGATTGAAATCTGATGGTCATTTAAGAATTTATATAGTTTGTAGCAATGTCCTAGTATGATAGTTCTGATTTCTTCTTCCATTAATTGAATGCCACCCACTTACTGAATGACCCCGTTTACATTTTTGCACCTTCCGTTTGAGCACTAGTAACACATGCAAACAATAACGTCTATGCATCATTAAAATGCACCAAAGTAAGTTAGTGCCATGCAATAATTTAGATTGCCCCCATCTGATTATCAATATGCATTTTATGATAATAAAACTGTGCGATAATATAGTAAAATCTTTGGTATTTCTAGATTTTCATTTTTGAATAGGGATGGAATGATCTAGGTCTTAATTTTTTGAATAGGGATGGAATCCAGGCGAGCCAACTTACTACCGATGGCCGCCGAGATGTGGACAGTACTGGTCAGGCCGCACTGGATACCCCATGTGGGACGACGAGGGTTGTTCCCGTAGGATGAGGTGGTTCATCTGTCAGCATCCTCCATCCTAATTGGAGAAATATCCTTAATTTTTGCCCCTAAATATTGCGAAGACATGTTCTAAAATCTGTACGATCAGCAAAATTTAGTCATTTTTATGTTTACCGAAGGAAAACACATTGTTTTTGGTACATTTCCTCTTCTTCTTCTTACGTTCCAAACACTGACCTCTGACTTGGCCAATGGTTTGATTTGTTGATGTCTGTCACCATGGTAATTTGTTGGTTTACACGGGTTACATGATGTTGCAATTTTGTTAGTAGGAGGGATTTATACTGTCTGACCATATATATACATATGAATGTATTTGAGTAAGAATTAACAGAGCATACCATATGCGAAGGTAAACATTATGCATTTGCTTTGCAAATGCTACCTTTCATATGTTTATATTTACTTTTTTTCTCGTTTCTCCTGCATTGTTAAAATTACAGCACTTAGTATAGACACCTGCCGCTTATACCAGAGTCTTTTTACTCAGTGTCTTGTAACAAGTCAGTCAAGAATATATGTAGAAGACTGTAAGCCGTAGATTTTATCACGCTAGGCTGCAAGGACCAATCGCAACGCTTCATTCTCATTGGTTATACAGTTATAACCTCAAAAACATGGCTTTATGATAAAGAAATTATACAATCGTAGCTCTGCAAATGTTAAAAGCAATTCATGTTAACGTTGCTTGGTTGTAAAGAAGTTGTGTAGAATCTTAATTGTAAAGTGCTATGGGAAAATCTGTCACAATAAGATTTAGAGAAATGGTGAGACATGAATATACTGGAAAAAAGTGATGTACTACAGTAGTCACGCAAAGTTGTCTGTTTGTACCAGTATAAATAATCTTTGGTTGACCATCTAGATCATCAATAGTGGCCGTGTAATGATACAGTAGAATGTATAGAGGTTGAATTAGAAAAAATGAAGCTGACCACTCAATATTTCAGAATCGAGATCTATCACAAACTTTTTAGAGATTGATGTACAAAGGTCCACACTGCTAGATCGAACATTGTAAAAATTCTAATGATTATCATGTATACTGTTTTATCTACAGCAATGAATAATAGAAGAGTGTAATTCGTATATTCTATCTATGTTATACCCGGCTGCATTGACTAACTTTAAGCTTACATTCCAATTGAATATTAAGTTACAAGAATATGTAAACAGGGAAGAAAGCCATGTGTTGGTGATCGGCAGAATGTACACTGGTAGGAATGATGACATTTTAACAGTAACAGATTTAATTTACAAACTGGTTATTGGTTTTTTTCGGGGCTATGTCACACTAAACACCGAAAAAAAAACAGCAGATCACACTTATATATGTGGCTTGACATTTAAGACGGGACTTTAACCTTTTTCAATGCTGTATTGGGTGATATTTTGATTATCATATAAACAATTACCTGAAAATCGGTGTATTTAGTATATATTTTATTGGTCAAAGACATTGGATATCCTTTAAAAGGCCAAACTCTTGTGAAAATAGCATCTACAATGATATAAGTGTACGTAAAATGTGTGTGAAATAGGAGCTATCATATCATAAGTAAATAATAAGGCAAAATTTGTTCTCTTTCAAGACACTTGTGCCAAATGTACGCCGTATGAAAATAAAATTCACTTTAAGCACACAAGGCTTCCGTTGAGTTACTTTCTTCCAGTATGTGATATTTTGGTACGAGTTGCAGAATTAGAAGAGACAAATATTTTTATAGTTTCTGGCCCTTTGGTGATTATCTTTTGTGATTAATGACCTTCATGATTAATGTGCCATACATGTATGTTGTCTTCAGACGGTCGTTTTGCTCAGCTAAATAATCTGTTCTCAGCTGTAAAGATAACCATCATACATTGGCACGGTGTTCTCCTTTTAAAATTATAGTGTTATGAAACAGTGTTAATGAAACGTTTCAAGTCTCGCTATCTGTACCTGGGTGGTAGTCCAAGCTTCACTACCGTAGGTAAGTATGGTGACAACAGCAGCATTGTATATCCGAAACTTTGTCGACTGAAGGATGTTCCTGTTGTTCCAGATCTTACCAAGTAAGTTAAAAGCACCAGAAGCTTTCTGAATCCGTTTGGAAATTTCAGAGTCAATTGTCCCGTTACTGCTAATTGTACCCCCCAGGTAAGTGAAGTGAGTAACCTGCTCCTCGGGATATCCATCTACCGTGATCCTGAGTGTGCTTTCTTCAGTGTAAGGTTGCTGTCCAATATGCTTGCCAACTGTCATAGCTTGCGTCTTTTTGGCGTTGGCCTTAAGTCCCGCAAGAGCACTGTTTTTTCATAAAAGATCAGTTGTCTCCTGTAGTCCCAGTTCCTTGTTGTCAAGTAAAGCCATGTTGTCAGCATAGTCCGTATTCAAAACAGAGACCAACGGCTTGCCATGACTATCCCGCTGCAACACTGCACCTGTACTGATTTGTTTGCTTAGCTCAGTTAAGTGTGCTGCCAAGTTTATGCAAACATTAAACACTGGGGGCCCCTGAATGTCCCCTTGTCCAGTCCCAGTCCCAGATGTAATCTGAACTATACAATGTTGTAATGGTAGTTTCTGGGATTTCTGGGAGTATTCTGGGAATTTAGCACTTGCCATACTGGAAGTTCAGTGAAGTTGGAGCTATGTAATCGTATGCGATTTGCAGAGAATCGCACAGCGAGTTTCGTCGTCCTAGGGGACGAAAGTCGCAGGCTGCGAGTTTCTTCACCTGAGAGCGGGGGCGCGCAGACTACCCTATTCGTGCGAATATCGTCGATCTTACGCTGGGCCGCGCACACGTACAATAGGCAACCCTTTCGTGCGAATATCGTCGATCTTACGCTGGGTCGCGCACACGTACGGTAACCATATACGTGCGAAGCTTTGCAGACTTACCCGGGGCCGCGCACGGCTCTCTACTGATCGGAACTTTGGCAGACATTTACCGATGTTGTGTTCACTTGTACTCCATCTACAGAACTACATTGGTAAATATAGATCAGCTGTATAATGTTCTTGGTCAGTTATAGATTAGAAAAAGATCGCAAATTGATGTTCTTCGATGTTCTTCTTTTACAGAAAATTCATTCGATTTACAGAAAACTGGGAACATGGAACTCGGAGAAAGCGCCAGCACTACATGCACCTGAATAATTCCAAATAAACTCCAAAATACTCAGTGATAGCTATGGAGAATGAAATACTATCATTTATATTCTAAAACAGGGAAATTAGCGGTTAAACCTAGTCTGTAACTTCGCCAGTCTACGCATATCGTAAAAAAACAAGATGGCGCCCGTGCATACGGGACGCCAACAAATAGCCAGAAAACACACAACAAAAATGGGGCTAAGGTAGAACAGATTTTATTCATGTGCCCTGCGTTGGTATTCACATCTTTATTGTGTAAAAGAAATTAGAAGAAAACGCACACACGCGTTCTTGGACAATATGCTACCTGACGTACAAATTCGTTGGAGTCGGCTTGGCTTACTCGCCCAACTTGCGCCACAAACAACAAAGCAAATCAACATTTATACAATCTTAGAGGCATCAACTAAAGTACTATGTGGAAAATATACATACATTGCATTACTGGTTCTTACGTTGTTAATCAACACAGGGGGATTACAAGTGTAAGACATAACAAACGTCTGAGGAAATACTAGCATTCTAAACGAAGAAAACAAAATGGCGCCCAATCATTTAGACGCCAACTGCTGGTCAACATATCCCAGCGTCCTTTGCAACAGACATTGGCTGTATAAACGAAAGAAATGCGAAAACTTGACAACAATCATTGGTCTAAACATGGAGGTAAAAAAATAACTAAAAATCGTGGTGAAATATCAAGCAATAATCAAATTGTCAAACAAGGACAAGTTATCAAAAATACCACTAACGTTAACATGTTACGTGGATTTACAAGAGATTGAGAAAACATGTTATGTTTCTTCAGCACGGTCGGTCGGGTTTGATGTTGTCTGGGGATGAATTGAGGTTCTCTGTCACTCTTTTCCGACGTCGCGATGGTGGAGACCTGGATGGGGGACACGACGGGGGATGGATTAGTAAAAGATCGTATATAAAATTTAATATCGCCCTCGGAGGAAGCGACAGCACTGCGTGGATGATTCCAAATACACTGCAAATATACCCAGTAATAGCTATGAAGAATGAATAATATTCTTGATTATCCACATAAGGAAATTCTCACCTTCTTCCAGTCAATGTCCAGTCTCCTGGCCCATGTGTTCCACCCTTGCCGAAGAATGCCGTACGGGATTCCCTTGAAGTTGTCCAAGTCGCACACAGACCTCGTTCTGTTGCACACTCTCTCCATCGTTTTCAGGGGCTGGCGACCCTCCACCATGGAATGGAGATAGTCCACCAGCAGCCCATAGAAGATCATGTGCCTGTGAAAAATGCAGATATTGAGTTAATGAATATTCAAAACCCGCCTGGAGTCACAATCAACATGGGTACAACAAATTTTAACGTATATATGAGGTCATATATGTACTTAGTTGAAATAAGTTAAAAGTGTCGTTAAAAGTTACCTATTGTCGATGTTGTGTAAGAGGTCCGCGGACCCGTCATACATATGACGGCATCCGCAGTCGCCTACGGTTGGCCTGTAGAAGACCACCCGTGGCTGTTGTCCATCGGGGCCGGCGTAGTAGTCGGTGATGGTGGCGTAGCGGGTGTAGATGCACACGCCGACATGCTGGATCCACTCCTGGGCCACAGGATCTCTGTCGTCCCAGTCGTGTCCGTGTCTGCATGCGCCAGCGGGTACATCAGGCACCAGATTCTGAGGAAAAGTCTCGGTATGATGTACATACCTTAGAACAGTTCCAAATTAGTATAATGAATGAAGACCTTTATTGTACATTTATGTCGTACATATATGTTAACTTCTAGTATACACAAGTAGGCTCGTCTACCTAAACTACAAAATCGGCATTCTTTGTTATTTCACGATAAAACAACCACAGACTACTAGTAATTATCATTGAAATTACAAGCAAGAAATTCACGCATGCTTAATGATATAGTACTTACCTATGAAACTTTTCCCTCATCTCTTGTGTGAATGGATAAGGTACAGGAGATGTGGAGACAGACTCAAAGCGAGGCTCGCTAGAGACCGTCAACACGAGGTTCGAGTCCACATTCCTGTCCCTACACCATTCCTTGTACGCACTGACGTGCGCACAACTCTTCTGGCGCCCGCTACACGACACGCAACAAAGCTTACCACCGTCCCCCATACGCTTCAGAATCCCTACAGGAATAGAAAATACACAATAGACTTTCTCATGTTTGGTCGTGAAAGCCAAATGATTCGAATGAACGAGAATGATATGATAATGCGTCAAGACTATGTAATATCAATATTAGAGTGTGATAATACAGTATTCTCACCGTATGTGTCTCCGTCATGGGCAGCAGCGATGAACGGCTCTGTTTGAAGCTGCTCCACAGGACCGTCCTCGCGCTCCTCATCTCCCTCAACTTCCACTGAGAGTGGCGTGGCGATGATATGTTTTGCTGCACGGGCGTGCAGGCAGTAAAGTCCTTCCTCCCGCACTGCAAAATCTCGAATATCCTCACCCGTCTGTGCCAAATATAAAGTTAAGTTGTTTATTGCAAATTCATGCCCGAGGACTGCTATAACACTATCCTTTACTTGCAATACTAGTAAGTATCTACACAATCAAAGCAGGGAAACTATTATAACATTGAAATTGAACTGTTAGTACATGTAACACAATTACAGGTACCCAATTTCGTCAATATGGACAACAAACAAATCCAAAGGAGTGTATTCCCATCATACCTCCCAATTCCATTGCGAAGATTACATATTTTGAAATTATATTCTCAACTGTGTTAGGATGACTGGGTAAATGCTTCTGTTACATAGATTACATACATTATAAAATTACACCTACCACTACACAGCTTGTGGCTGAGAGCCGTTCGTGTTGTTCCCGTGCTTCGTCACAGGAGCACAAGAATAGCACGTAGCTTTCTCCTGCAGCTGTTTCGAAGTTCACTGCCTGGACCAGTTGAAACTGACGATCCTTTGTGCGTCCCCTTAGGTCACAGTCGGCCAGAGCGTAGGTGTTGTCCCTGGTAAGAGAGAACCACCTATGCTCGCGAACCAACGAGCTCACATAGCACGCCAAAGGGTCGGCCTGACCCAAGCACACAGTTCTGGAAAAAAATTCCACTTTCAGTACAACTTTTTGATAGCAAAGTTAACCAACGTTAATATATACTGTAATTCACTTTATGTCCAAACTAGAGGTCGGAGATTCCATGCCTTCGTCATAGGTACATTGTTCTAGAAAAATAGACATGTGTATTCTTTACTTTTTTAATAATCAATGGGGTCTACAGTACAAAAGAATCTCTGTACTCCTTTTTTATGCTACGGAGCACCCTGAAAGGGTTCGCCACAGATTTTACAGACGCGCCGTCACCCATCTGTCAGCTTCAATTTTCAAATTCATTTCTTTCTAAAACCAAATGTTGTGTCAGCTAACAGACAACTATTTCCTACAAAGTTTCGTAAAGGGAGTGTAAACGGTTTTGACAGGAAGTGCCGCTGAAAAGGATTCTTTATAAGTACTTACATTGCCGAAGGAGCCGAGTCACTCTTCAGATCCAAAGTTTGAACCTTGGAAGTGATGTTGTCCGCTCCGGTAGCCTTGGTCTCTGCACGAGCTAGACGGCGGAGCTGAGCTGGGGTCATCGGCACTCCGGAGCGTGATCGCTTGTCCATAGTTGACTGCATATAGTCTCAAGAATCGACTAAACGGTGGACGGTGATCTGCCTATTTATACACTACCTGGAATCTCACTGTTCACACCTTCATGACAATGT